CGGGCCCCAGAATTATTAATTCTCATTGTTTCTACAACCATATCCCAAACCTGACACATTAAGGCTTGGCAGTTGTAGTAAAGTCTTTTTGTGAGCAATCAGTGAAGACTACAGATTATAAATATAACTAATGTAAGCAAAACTACTGAGAATTACCTGTGGTAGGTGCCCATGGGTCAGAAGTGCCTGTAATATGTCTACCTGATAAAAGACAAGAGAGCAACATTCATACTAAGTTCAGTTTTATTTTAGAGGAACGTTCCGTGGTGATCCCATTAAGGGAAAGCAAAAAATGGCTGTACTCTGCATACATCAGCCAGCAAAGTAGGCCTGCCTGAAACAACCTTTGTTTTGATAGTATATCAATGTAACCATCAATGTGGCATGAATATTCTCAGGCCACTGGCTTTTCCCAGGGCTGTGAATTAGCACAGGACTTTTTAAGTTGCACTCTTTTCAACATTCTCGACCCCTATAGACTAAATAATTTGTTCTGAAACAGTCAGCACAGGGCATCTCATGCAAGGATATGTAATTACCCACGTTTTGTACTGAATCCTAAGTCCTTCCAGTATTAGAGTTTACATCCCGTCCTTAAGTCACAACTGATAAGGATTCTTCTGTATACTCCATCATATGCAGTTGCATAACAGAACTAACTATCTCTCTCCTTAGGTCATGTATGATAGTAAATATTAGAAAAGCTCCAGAGATTTACCTGTTGTAGCAATCCATGGTGGAAATGTGGTGGTAACACCTGTCAGTGCAATAGAGAACAATATGAAAATGAGGTCTGCAGACTAGTACTGCAAAGGACAGATTCCTACACCCAGTAATGTATCAGTATAGCCTTCCTTCCAGCACTGACATTCTCTAGGTCTGGCTTTTTCCTGGTGCTTTATGCATGCATACCAGGTTGAGAAAAACAGGATGTTATGTTCCCTCATTTGGGACCATGTCACAGACATGCTTACTCATATTATGGTAAGTCTCATTCCTTTGATGTAAAACACAAAGTAAAATTTTAAGCATGCAGCTTGTATGATCAAAGCTGTACAAAAGAATCTTCATCTGCAAAAGCTGTACATCAAGAAGCCTACTGCACAAACTTGACAAACACCCCATTGGTGAGAGCCCCATTAGGTGATGGGGCTCCTGGCACACGGATACATCCTGTGCCTGGGAGCCTCCATCAGCCTGGCCACACTCAATTCCATTGATAACTGAATAATTAATGGTTTGATAGGAACCAACCACAAAGTTATTATACATTTTCTGTCTAACTTTGTAGCTTATGCCTTTTTTATAATGCCATTAGCTGAATTAACACATGACCAGATATAAGATATGATTAAATGGTCTTTAGTGTCACATATGTCCAGGGTAGTGCATGATGCGGAATCTTGCTGAAATACAAACTACCAGATATCTGCTAGAATGCATAAGTAAAATGCATGAGAAAGACCTGGTGCAGAAATACATGGTTGATTTATGCTTGCATGCATGCCTTCATCACCGCTTAATGGAAGAATCGGCAACGCAGGAATTAAGAAAATTTCACTCACAAGATCTATATTTCAGAGCAACCTGCCAAAGTCATTCAGGTAAAAGTAAAATTAGAAAATCAAAGTAAGGGAAGGAAGAGGAGAATATGAATAGTCAAAATAAATAAAGGAGGCCTACAAACAGTAGAAGCCAGGGGCTATCACCAAGGAAGTTTACACCTCCATTGCTCAGGAGTGCAGGGAAGCTGTTAAGAAGACTAAGGCAGAGATGGAGCTAGGGCTAGCGACCAGAACTAAGGATAATAAAAAGTCCTTTTTCAAATACATAGGAGGTCAGAAGAAGGGGGCCCTTACAGGAGACGCTTGGCAATCTGGTGATTGTGGCAACCAGAAAAGCTGACCTCTTTAATAAATTCTTAGTCTCCATATTCCTGAACAGGGACCAGGATATCTCCCCCAGCTGAATTGCGGATGGACCCAGGGGAGGCACTGCCATGAATTTTACATGGTTTCCCACCACATTCTCTTAACAAAACCTTGGTGACTGTGGCATTGATGCCTACACAGTCACAGGCAAATTGGCTAGATGGTTGCTCCCAGAAAGTGGTGGTGGACGGGCCGTTTTCAGCCTGGAGGGATTTGGGCAGTGGAGTCCCCCAGGGCTTGGTCCTGCACTGTTCAACATCTTTATCAGCGATCTGGATGTGAGTGTGGAAAGCACGCTGTCCAAATTCACTGACAACACCAAGTTGTGGGGTGACAGTGGTATGCTGGAGGGGATGGACAGAGTATAGCTAGATCTAGACAAATTACAGAGGTGGGCAGATGAGAATAGGGTGCATTTCAATGCAGACAAGTGCAAGGTGCTGCATCTTGGGAAAAGGAACCAGCAACACACCTATAGGCTGGGGAACACCCTTCTCATCAACACGGTGGCAGAAAGAGATCTTGGAGTCATTGTTGACTCCAGGATGAACATGAGCCACCAGTGCGAGGAAGTGATCAGTAAGGCTAACCACACCTTGTCGTGCATCTACAGATGCATCGCAAACAGGTCCACAAAGGTGATTCTCCACTTCTATGCAGCATTGGTCAGGCCACAGTTGGAGTACTGCGTCCAGTTCTGGGCATCGCACTTCAAGAGGGATCTGGCTACCATAAAGAGGAGGGCCACTCGCATCATCAAGGGGCAGCGGGGCAGGCCCTACGAAGAGAGGCTAAAGGGCCTGTACCTATTCAACCTCCACAAGAGAAGGCTGAGAGGGGATCTGGTGGCCATTTACAAACTCACCAGGGGGGACCAGTAGGAATTGGGGGAAACTCTGTTCCCCCGGGCACCACCCGGGGTTACTAGGAATAACGACCACAAATTGTTAGAGAGAAGGTTCAGGCTGGACATGAGGAGACATTACTTTACAGTTAGGGCTGCCAGGCTCTGCAGTGGGCTCCCAAGTGAGGTGGTACTCTCCCCTACCTTGGGGGACTTCAAGAGGACGTTGGAGAGATATTTGGCTGGGGTGATATGACCCCAGCACCCATTCCTGCCTGGGACAGAGGGTCGGACCTGATGATCTGTTTCGGTCCCTTCTGACCCCAAATACTATGATACTAAAGAAAAACTAAGTTTATCTACAGTTGGAAACCATTAAAACAGCCTAAAGCAGATTCTGGATGTAGACTCACAGCCTCAGAGCAAAGCTAGCTTACTCAACAGACCATATATATTTCTTCATAATTCTACAGTAACATAATCCAGCTCTGAGACTAAAGGACTGTTATGATTGGAGCTGGACATACCCTTCTGTTGTTTCCAAAAGCATTGACTTGCCTCCTTCTACTTCCCAGGCCTAGCACTCTGCAATCATTAACATTTGCAGTGCTTGGAATGGCTTGTTGGTCCACACTACTGTGGAAACAGAGGAGGATACAGCTAATTAGATTGCAAAAAGGGGAGGAAACAATTGGAATTACCTCTTGACGTAGCCCATGTCGGCCTTGTGGTTGTGCTGGTTGCATAAGCACCTATTAAAGGAAGACAGAACAAAATGCAAGTGAGAAACACCTGTATTATGGAGATAGTGTCATTAAGGTGAAAAAAGAATCAGAAAATCAATCTGGTATAGTGTACAAAAAAAGGAGAGATTTCAGCTCACTGTCAGCTGTGCTGACTTCCTAAGTTAACTTGAAGTGAAGACAGGAAAGGCAGAAGTTCAGATCTTGATTGGCACACAGGAAGCATATCTGTGACAAGGTGCCCAACATCAGTGACAAACTCGCTTTCAACGCATGGAAAGTGAAAATCTCCACCTCAGCTCAACAACTCTCTTGTCCCTCAGCAAGAGCAGCACACAAAACAATGCTGCTACACAAACATGGCAAAACCAATTTTTGGCCTAAATCTTAACTGGGAGTGAATGAAAAGTGCTCTCAGGAGCTAGAATACTAACTCATAAAGGAGAACATAGGAGAAGATTCTAAAATAAAAATAGGAATATAGGAATATTCTAAAATAAAAAACAGAGGTTACCTGAACAGATGACACCAGCATCTTCACTATGTCCACAGTTATGGCTTTCCCCGCCCCGGTGAGGGCATTGGCCGAGATAGGACTCCTTTCCAGGTGAATATACCCAGAGCCTTGACCAAAGTAGGCACTTTGTGGGGAGGAAAGGGCGGAGCCACATCCAAGCTGCCTGCACACAACCTCAGCATCGCTGAAATCCCAGGAATCATCACAAACCGTCCCCCAGGCTCCATTGTAACTGATTTCTACACGGCCCTCGCATCTGTTCCTTCCATTCACCAGTCGGATGGTTGTTCCTTCAAAAGCACAGAAAGCAATATTTAATCTTATCAGAAGTCCTCACAGTCACTTACATGTTGGCATCTTCTTACCCCTGGTATTATCACTTTCTCTTAAACACATCTGAAGTGCCCTAGGATATCCAACTTCCTGGTGAGACACTGTGGGCCCCAGAATTATGAATTCTCATTGTTTCTACAACCATATCCCAAACCTGACACATTAAGGCTTGGCAGTTGTAGTAAAGTCTTTTTGTGAGCAATCAGTGAAGACTATAGATTATAAATATAACTAATGTAAGCAAAACTACTGAGAATTACCTGTGGTAGGTGCCCATGGGTCAGAAGTGCCTGTAGTATGACGACCTGATAAAAGACAAGAGAGCAACATTCATACTAAGTTCAGTTTTATTTTAGAGGAACGTTCCGTGGTGATCAAAAGTGAATTCATTAAGGGAAAGCAAAAAATGGCTATACTCGGCATACATCGGCCTGCAATGAAGGTCTGTCTTAAACTCAGCCCCCTGCCCAAATGCAAGAGGAAGTTTTTCTAAGCCACTTGAGCTCAATGCTTATCCACCACTTCCTGATGAGCTCCAATTAAGGTGAGTCTACAGCCCAGCCTCCTTCCATGAAGTTTTGAGATTTAATCAAAATTGGCTTTGCCTTATAGCCTGTCCCTTTACAGCACTCTGGCCCTTTCTGAAACAGCCAACACAGGGCATCTCGTCCAAGTATATGGAATTACCACAGTTGTGTACTGAATCCTGAGTCCTTGCAGTTTTAGAGTTTACATCCTGTCCTTAAGTAGCAACTGACAAGGATTCTTTTGGATACTCCATCACATACAGTTACATAACAGAGCTAACTATCTCTCTCTTTAGGACATGTATGATAGTAAATATTACTAAAGCACACGAGACTTCCCTGTTGTGGTAATCTGTGGTGGTAATGTAGTGGTGACACTTGTCAATGCAATAGAAAACAACATGGAAATGAGGTCTACAGACTAACATTATAAAAGACAGATTCCTATATCCAGATTTTTATACCCAGTAATGTATCTACAGTGCTAGTACTGTAGGCATGCATACCATGTTGAACATAGTAGGATGTTATGCTTCCTCATCTGGGACCATGTTACAGACATGCTGACTCATCCTATTATGGGCCATCTCATCCAAACACTGAAACAACAATGTAATTATATTACATACAAGAATTACCTGTTGCATTGAACCATGGTGAAATTGTGGTTGTGTTAGCACCTGTTGATACAGAGAGAAGAATGTGGAAATGAGGAAAAATTTCAATCAGTTTGAAGTAATACAGAAACTCATAAAGGTACAAATGGGCAAAATATCATACTCTTAAGAGAGGAGAAAAAAATGAGACAGAATGAGAGAGCAATGAAGATTAAGCCAAGCTTATGCACCGTGTGCAATAAGTTAGGCAGTAGAATCCAGATACTGAACACTAACTGCAAATGTCTCTAACATCTTCGTAAGGGCTTCCTACAATCATTGTTGCTTCTTAGATTTGGGGAGCTTTTGCAGCATTTAAGTAAGACTATTTTAAGCTTCCTGACCCTGTGCAGATGCATGGGTGTGCATAATCTCCTGAGGGGAGTCTCACCAAAATCTATGAGACTTCTAATCGCTGTCAATTGAAGCTTTTGCCTGAGTCTCTACTGGAGCATGGCTTCAATCATATTTCACAGTCAGAGAAATCCTCCTGAGGATGCATATTGAAACACTTTGGGTTTCTTTGTCTGTCAGCGGACTCTAACAAGAATGTCACGGTTGACCATTGCAATATTTTCCTTACACCATGTAGGAAAATACTCAAAAAAAAAGAATTCCATATCTGCACCATTAGCCTCTCCAAGGCCAAAAGTGTTCAGTATGTTTGTTTGTACAGCACTCTGCAGCTTGCACTCACCTGATCCCTCTGGGCACTATAAGAACAAAGAAGTGAAAAGCTTGACAGCAACAACTTGTGAACTAAATCTGCAATTCTTTTGGTTGTTTAAGTATGAAACTTAGATGGGCCCAAATTTGGATGATGAACTTTAAACACAGAGGGGAGAGACAAGAAAGACTAAATAAAAATGAAGAAAAATAAATAAATTTAGCCACCATTTATGAAAAGTAAAGCAGGTACATGTAAACTCCTATTCCGATCCTTTAATGGTAGAGCCAACCTTCTTAAGTCACTGCTTTTTCATGGGTGCTTGAAGAACACACAACACTTAGAAAAAAACAGCATCTTAAGCCCAATGGCCATGTAAAGACCTACAGATCTGCAGAAATTACCTGTGGTGGGCAGGACATGAAAACCTACGGGCTGGTGAGGGGTACACACATCACAACATTACTCCTTGCCAACACTGCCCCTCTGTCTAAACCCGAAAGATCGGAGTACATCCATATCCTGCACAGTGCAGCTTGTCCTGCACTGAAGATTCTGGGTGTTACTACAACGAAACTCAAAGAAGGGGGATTGAAACTGAAATCCTGGGACCTAAAATGCTGATTCTCCTTGTCACTGATAATGCCCAAAGCCATGAGCTTATCTCCTTGATTCATATTCTAAGAACAAGGGAACGAAAGGGAGGAAAGCTGGACTGTTTCAGCTATGCTTTTCTGTCTGTAGAGGGCTTACCTTTAGCAGGCTTCTTCATACTCTTCCATAACTATTGCAGTCTCTTGCCCTGTTCACAACTGCACCTATGGGGGGAGTCCAGGGGCACCATATTTCTAACCCAACAGAGGCAACTTTCTTTCAGTGAGAACTTTTACAAACTGAATATTTTCCTAGGAAGGATTTATGAGGCGTGTGCGAACAGGGAACTTTTCAATTCAGGTTCGGAATCCACCAATTTGGATGCCAGCGATTCGATTTGGAGCTCCGAATAGGGTTTCCGCTTCGATTTGGCCAAATCGGCTCCGAAGGTTTGGAGCCGATTCAGAGATTCGGCCATAGGGTAAAATGGGGAATCAATGAAATATCTATAACTGTGTTGTTCTTTGTCTGATTTGGATGAAACTTGCAGGGATGGTAGCCTCTGCTAAGAGAATGAAGCCTACTGTGTTTCATGGAGATAGATGCAGGGGTTTGGGGGAAACTGCACCCCAAATTCATGAAAGCCAAACTCATGTCACTTGTGTGTGTTATACCACAGGGGTGTTAAAACTGGAGGGATTGTAGTCCCTACTGAGGCCAGAAAGTCTGCCAAGTTTCAGGGAGATAGGTGTAGGCGTTTGGGGGAAACTGTACTTCAAGCTGCAGACAAGCACAACTCGTGACATGGGTGACACTGTGCGTGTTAAGGCGCAGCAGAGTGAAAGCTGCAGGCCAAGGAAAAGGGAAAAAAAAGAATGAATGAAAGTGAATGAAAAACTATATTTACCTGCAATATATAAAAACCAAGGCAGACAAAAAGGAATTTGAGGCAATCTCATATTTTAAATAGCCCATCATTATAGCCATCACCCAGGCAGTGCATGTGGTACATCTTTCCCTCGTGTGGGAGGGGTAAAACAGAGCTATGGAAGCAAAGTTAAAATAAGCCTACTGACCCATCACAGACTTGCAGACATGCTTACATTTCCTGCAGTCCTACTCAAATTGTAAACTGTAAACTGAAGCTTATGTTGAAAGTCTCCCAACAATTAAGACTTCTACTTTGCCTGTCATAAAGCATGCTTCCTAAAACTTTACATGTTGCTGTACACATAATCTCTGGGAGGAACTTCATAATTAATCATCAACATCAGCGCTTGTCATGGGATGGAGAATGCCCAGACAAAAGAACTGTACCACAGCACTGCACCCCTCTCCAAAGCCAGAAATGCTCTTCTAGCCTGCACTTTGGTTGAGGGCACTCTCCAACAAGCGTGAGTGAGGGAACTTAATAGTTTATAGTTAAATTTGCCAAGATGGGGGGACCCTGCCAGCCCTTTTCATTTATTTGTACATCTATTTTATATGAGCCAGGTTGAATTCTGAATGATGCTATTCAAAATTTAAGCTAGTCCAATTCAGCTATTAAAGATATTCAGAATCTGAAATACTCTCCTGCAAACAGAATGATTCACTATCACCACTTCCTACTTTACCAAAGGACTTTGGTCCACTTAAGGCTTGGCGGGTAAGTATCCTGGTGCATTTTACAGTGGATACAGAAAACACCATAGCTTCCAAAGAAATAGAGGTCAATGACATAACTGAGAATTGTCAGTTGTTGTTGGCTGTACTGTAGGATGACTAGAACAACTGTTCATGCCACAGAAGAACAACTGTTCATGCACTATACCAATGGGGAACATTTTCATTAAGGGGCTGTATTTTCTGGCAAAATCCAAAAATGACTTAGACACACTCAAAAAGGAAGAGAGAAGATGGAAAACATAAGAGGCAAGACAGCAAAAAAAGTATACCAAACAGATTCCAATTAATATATCTATTTTCCCCAGACTATGGCTGTGTGTAGATAAAACAAGGGGCACATGTGCACGACACTTTAACGTGGGTTAAATGCTTTTGCACCGCTTTAATGGTGTTGGTGTTTGCATGCATCGGCAGTCTATTGTGCAGTAATTCCAGCTGCTGTAGCACATTCGGCAGCATAATGTCCCTTAAATGACTTGGGGTGCAGCAAACTAAATACGAGCTCTGCCCGCCAGCAGCTTGCCCTCCCCTCCTCACTGCCGGAGAGGCAGGTAAGTTCAGGTGTGTGCACGACCTGGGGTTTAAAGGGCCCTAAATTGAAGCGGTGGTTTTAAAAACCCACCGCTTCATTTTAGGGCCCCCGTTTCATCTACACATGCCCTAATATTCTAAACCCCACACTCATTCTGTTATAGGCAGCTTTTATAATACTTGAAGTAATAAAAGTTTAAGCTTACTAACACTATAGATGGACATTGTATGTGTTAAGAAATCATTCAGTAGCACTTTTGTTACTACACTGAACTTATTGCAAATGTTTTGATTTGATTGTAATTGCTAACAAACGTCTCAGACAAAATACTGGCTGGTGGGAGCAAGTTAAATTTCTCGCCAAGCAGATTATTAAACAATAGTAACAATTAATGAGTTTAGTTAACTCACATTTTTCAACAGAACCCCCAAATGCCATTTAATCTTTGCACAAAATCACTGAAGGTGTGAGTTCTCTCTGTGGAATCAGGACCAAAACTGGTTTTTATAGTTTTGTTAAAATGACTTTTTTAAAAAAATGTAGCAATTTACCTGAGAGAGTCTGTAGAACTCCTGGGCAGAAGAGTAACATCCAAGTGAGGATCTTGGCAGTGCCCATCTTGCCAGAGCTCCTGGCAAAAGGGAGCATCAACATTTATAGGCTCCATCTGGAAAGGGGCATGGCTTCTTTGTGTCATCACAGGAAATCAATAAAAAGTTAATTCCTAAGGTTATTCCAAGTTATTTTAATCATAATTGACTGTTACTTCCTTATCACCAAACAAAAGTAGTATTTGAGCAACAGTATTTTCACTCCCTGGAGAAAAACCTTGGTGCTGCAGTTATTGCTATAAATTATACCAGTCATGCTATGACATCAAAAATACCTTTGGAGCCTGTGTAGTGCTTCAAGGTGCTTTGTTTTTGCAAGTTACTGCTGAAGACATGAAAGTGGGGGTTATCCTCAAGGCAATGTGAAAAGGCTTGGAGGGCTTGCAGAAGGGGTTCCAGGTGACCTGGCCTTCCTCTGAGAGGGATTCCCTTTCTGGTGCCTGAAATGTCCCGTAGAGTATGAACATGTACGTTTCAGCTAGCTTCACCGTGTACTTGTGAACATGTTACTCCTGTGAACGAGTGATTACTTGTTAAACCTTTTATACTATTCCAGAGAATCAAGGAGTTCTTGGAGACCAGACTCTGAGAAGCAGCATTTTATATCATATAGGATTGTGTGCAGATCAGCTGGAGTCACTGTTTAAGGAATGCATTGCTCTTTCTTTCCCTGAGCACTCAGAAAGATAGCAAGGGTGAGATTCAAAGAAAGACATGGGCAAACTTGAGACACCCAAGTCCAAAATCATGATCCAAAAAAGACTGCTTCAACAGTTGCTCCTCCTGCTCCTCCTTAACATGCAGCCTTTTGGAATTGTCATCCTGAAGTCCTAACTCTCTCCCTGCACCCTATGCAGAGACAAGATTTCTAACTCTAGAGTCTTTGGATTCCACTCTGGGGTCCTAACATCTAAAAGTTTGTCAAGTACTTTCTAATGAACTTCACACGTGCTTATGAGTCAGGGGCACAAGGAGGGGGAATCCTCTGTTCCATCAGTATTTCATGACTTTAAATAAGTGATCATTGGTAGCACCTTTTTCTCGTCCCAGGGTCTTCAGTAGAGTTCACCTGGGAACCACTTTAAAGAGCACGTGCGATTACCCACCTATGATCCTCTATTACATTAATAAAATATTCTTGCTTAGAAGAGGTAATTCACAATCTGTATTACTGGAGATTGGCACCTGAAATGCCTGTTGGGAGCCATCTTTATGAAAATGTGCTGTGGCACTGCGATCTAGCCGTTACAGCATGGAGGTGGCAGTCTCTTGGTTTCTCTGTCCTGGTTCTGCCTAAATTTACTGGGCATTAATACCAGTAGCAAAGGGGGCCTATACATGAGCAGTGAGGAGCAGACTCAATTAATTGAATCTGCTGGAGCATGGTAATTACCACGTTCCGGCGGACTCAAGCATTTCATGCATCCGTGTCCTCGCACTGAAAAATGGCATTGGGGGCACTTTAACTAAAGCTTGTTTGATGAGCTTTAGTTAAAGCACCCCCAGCACCATTTTTCAGTGTGGGGATGCTGACACACAAGACGCTCCAGGCACTTTAATTAGAACGGCTCTTGGAGCTGTTCTAATTAAAGTACCCTCCCCCCCACTCTCGGAGCATGTGAATAAACATCCAAAGTGACC